CTTTCTAAAAATTGAACTTCATAAGTTTCTTTCTAAACAGTCTGGGAAACTATACTTAACTTTTCTTAATGTTAGTTTTTTATTTGCTTTTTACAAGTTTTTTAGTTCAATCTTTAGATAGATTGGGCACACTGTGTTAGACAGAGTCTCTAATTATGCATACATTTTATATATAATTAGATGGATTTAAGGTAAACCTTGAATGATGGAAAGAACCTGGATAAAACTCTCTCAAAACGTACTGCCATAGAGTGGATTCTGACACATAGTAATCCTGTTAGACAGGAGAGTTGCCTTTGTGGATTTCTGAGGCTGTAAATCTTTACAGGAGCAGAAAATGTCATTTTTCTCTCTTGGCTGCGGGTTCCCACGGAGCACATGGTGGGTTTGAACTGCTGCTGACTTTGCTGTTCGCAGCTCAATGTTATAACCCAGTAGCCACCAGGGCTCCTTGAAAGAATTTGGATAGAGGAGAGAAAAGAACATTCCATGAGTTAAACATAGTATACACCTTGATTCAGAGTAAGAAATGAGCATGCACCTTCAGAGAACAGTGAAGAACCTATCTTCACTGGAGTCCAGGCCTCATGTTGGACAGATAATAGAAATAAAATTGGATAGGAATTGTGGGACAAATAGAATCTTTTTTTTAATATGAATCTTAAAAGATAGGTAAAGGAATTTATACTTTAACCTGTAGTCAATGGACAGTCAGGATTTGGTCAAGAGAGTGCGTAAAATCCCGGTTTTAGGGATGTTAATGAAGGGATAGCAGAAGTAAGGAGAGATTGAAGCTGAAGGAGAATCAGGGCATAGAGAAAGCATCTTTCTGACTCAGATTCAGTGTATTTACACCCAGACTATTGATCTCCATTTGGGTTCTGTGCCTGTCTCAATGGACACTCCTTGCTATCAGTTGATAGAGTGGTCTCAAGTACTGAGCCAAGTGGTTTAAGTGTCCTTCCACATGCCCAAAGACTCACAGAGGCCTGACCTTCTTTTTGGCACCCTATGGGTTAAGTAAGCTTGCACCCGTTTCAGGCAACATGCTGATCTCACCTGACCAGAGGACCCCTAGGAAATTTTTTTTCCAAATCGTTTTATTAGGGGCTCATATGACTCTTATCACAATCTATACATACATCAATTGTGTAAAGCACATTTGTACATTCATTGCCCTCGTCATTCTCAAAACATTTGCTCTCCACTTAAGCCCCCCCGGCATCAAGTCCCTAGGAAGTTTTTTAACGCTCTCAGTCCCTGCACCTTTTCAGGGGCAACCTCCCTGTGGGTGGGTGATTAGAGTGGCTTCATAATACAAAGGCAGGAAACATCTTGAGCAATTTACACGATGTCATCAGGTTAATGAAACCAACAGCAGAGGGACAAAGCAACAGAATCAAGTCCTGAGCAACCACACTGTGGGAGATTGTGGGGCTGGACAGCACCAAGATTGTCCACTGCTGGCCCTCCCAGGTGAAGGCCAGCTCGTTCTGAGCAGACAGAGAAAGAGGGTTGGTAAAGAATTCATTATCCAGAACTAACAGTATATGTATGCCAGATTTCTAAAGGTTTCTATCAGGGGTGTTGTGTGCAGGACTGCGTGTCATTACTTAACCTGCAGTTGGAATTTTCCCACATAGACTCCATCCCTAGAATGTATTCTGCCAAGGGAACGGCCTGGAACTGCTCAGGGTTTCCAAAGATAACCCTGATCAACCAGAACCGGTATATTCCTTATTTGTCTTTGTCTTTTGCATGAGGCTTCCTGTCCCACCTGTAGTGCTCTGACTTGCAGGTGACTTTTGCCCCCACATCTAGTCTCTCGGGACTATAAAGGGTCCCTGCAGAGGCAAGAGAGGTACTATCTCACAGGGGTGGGAGGCAGTCGGATGGAAAGGGCAGTGTTTGGCTCTGACTTCAACTTCTTTCAAGGTTATCCAGATTGTAGCTGGTTGTTTATCTTTATTACTCTTGTCCCAGCAACCTGCTCGTGGGCTACTTTTAGGGGGCATGAGGGCAGCCATCCAGTAGGGTTTCTTCAACCCTTTTTTTCCTCTCCCTTCCCATGGTTCATACCTCCTTGTTCGCTTTCCCAGCATCACTGAATATGACTGCTCTGAGTTGTGAGCTGTGTGCAATTATATCCAGATTGTAGGTCCACCTGTAAGTTCTCTGTTTTTATTTTTGCAGTGAAGAATTTGTTTGGGCCCCACCATGGTGGACATTGTTATTTTTTGCTGACTTTGGGTACAGATGCCAACACAGTGTTGCTCCTCAAGCAAGGGGGAAGTGGGCAGCAAGGAGAGATGGGAAAGTGAAGAGGACAGGCAGTGGCTCCCCCAAATATCTGGTCTTGTTGCCTCCTCCCAGTGCTCACTCTCCTTCCCCCCACTTCACTCTCACTGCCCTCAAGGCCTGAACAAGAGGAATGGACTGGACAAGGCTGACGACCAGCCTCCAGATCATGGATGGGGAGGTGGTGATAGTTGAAGTGGCTGGGTTTCTTCTCTCATGATCCACCTCCCAAGCTGCTTCCTCCACCACCTCCGTTTCTGCAGACCTAGCTGTTCACCCACCCTACTTTAGAACATCCGTTGTGGCCATACACACCACCCACCCCTGTCTAACTGCTTCTCCTCTTGCAGTGCTCTTACACTCAGCTTTGGATCTACCTGGGTGACACTTTCCCCCAACCATGTTGTGCACCTTGGGGTTTTGGGAGCATCCCCATACTCAGGCAGCAGTCCACATGAGCCTGGGAGATCCCTGGTAGATGCATTCAGGCTAGATTTCCTCACATAGAGGTTGCTGGCCAACCCAGGGTTCAACCCCATGCCCATTGGATAACTCTCCCTTATCAGTGCTGTCCTCAGACTCCTGGCTGTCTTCCAGTTGTCCGGCATAGGCTTTGGGTGCAGGCTTAGTCTCTGTATGCTCCTCGTCCTCCCATCAGAAGGCAGGTACTTTTAGAGCTCAGCCAAACAAAGGCAACTTGGGGCCAGGGCCCTGGCCCTCCAGGGCCACACCAGCCAAGTATTGCATAAAAGTGACTTGGCAAGCACAAGTGAATGAACAGCAAGCAAGAACATAACCATATTCAGTCTCGCCAAAGCCTTTTTCCCTGCAGAGGGATAGGTGGAAAACCAGAAGAAAATAGTGTCATGCTAATTGAGGAAGAAGACGTTTTCAGGGAGCATGAGTAACAGTGCCAAACACTGCAAAATGTTAAAAGGGACGGAGAAAACATCAGTGACTTGGCAATTAGTGTGTGCTCGGTGACTTTGGAGAGAGCAGGGCAGAAGGGAGCAGGTAAAAAACAGACTGGAATTGGGTCTGAGGAGTGTGTGAGAGGGGAATTACTATTATAAATCATAGTAAAACCAGTTCTGTCTGAAATCCGTGTATTGTTGTCAAAGTGCAGTACATCTGAATTACTTAGATAATTGCCTCCACCCTTTATCTGCCTTGCCTGTGGAGATTTGATTTAATACATCATTCAAAGTTCCATTTCCTCTTGATACCTAAAATGCCAACTGACTTGAAATCTGATGTGATGGGCTGGATGTATTAAAGAATACTAATTGCTTCTTCCTTTGTCTTTTGTTTTGCAGCAAACAATTTTTCCATCCCAAATCACTAATGAGCGTGAGTCTATGATAATGGTGAAGAAACTTTTTGCTACTTCTGTTTCCTGTATAACATATATAAGGGGACTATTTCCAGAGAGTTCTTATGGAGAACGCCATTTAGACGGTAAAGTTTAACTGAACGATTACTTTCACTCTGGGGCCCTATCTCTGTTTGGCACCAGGAAGCCTTTCACTTCTCACGGAGTGCGCTAATTCCCAGTTACAGGCCTGTTCCTCAACACCAGTGTGCTCATTCGCTATTGATGTTTTGTGGTTTCACTAATAGGAACCATTAGTTCCTGGCCAGATACCAAAAAACAGAAAAAGGAAAAAGAAATCTGTATGAATAAATGCAGTTAATCCTAAGCTATGCCTTCAAAACAGCAGCCAGATCTATCTCTAGTTGGATACCGTAGATTTGCATATTTTTGTGCTTCAATTATATTTGTTTTTTGAGGCTGTTTTAGCACTGAGGAAAGTCAGTGCTGCCAGCTTAAGAAAAAAAACAAAAAAGAAAAACAAAGAACTCTCCTCCCTATGAACACATATAAATATGCTGGAGGAAAATGTATACTCATGCCAAATATATTTGTTGATTAGCAGGGATAGTTAGACATTTTTTTTATTCCAGTGAGCGCTGTTCTCTCCATTGCTAGCTCTTCTATTCTTCTCTCTCTCTTTTTTTCTCTCTCTTTTGGTGTGTGTGTCCTCTTAAACTTATGATGACATCACTTTACACTCATATTACTTGTTATTTCTAGCTCCTTGTATTCCAAGAAAGAATGCATCTGAGACCATTGCTACTTAATTACTTCAATTTTTCGGACTCTCACATTTGCCTACAAAGCTCGGTTGTGATAACAATTTAGGACCTCTGGTTGAGTTGTCACTTCAATGGGAACAATCCTTTGGAAAGTGAAGAGTCACAAGCTTCTTTGTATGTTGCTATTTTTCTAAATCTAACTTTACTTAAAATTGATCTGTATTTAATGATATACTCTGTTCTTATTACAACTTCATTTTCTTAGGGAACATTCGATTCTGCACACTAACAGCAATGAGTTGCATGAGTGCTATTCACAGAAAACACTGTTGCAATCATGGGAAGTTTATTTGCACACAATTCTGACTTTTTTTGGTCTAATAGGTCTGTAATAGTGAATGTATTTATGTGTAGGAAATGGGGGAGGGTTTTCACTCTTGTTTGGAACATAGAATTGGAAAAAGACAACTTTGGGGTAACTAAGCACTTACTGTGTGCTAATCACTGCCCTAGGCATGGGTGTACTTACTGTTCCTTATAGTTTTATGTTTTTCTCTGTGTGTGATAGTTATGATGAAACTGTATCCCTCCTAATGTTTGTCCTTAAAGTAACATTCATGGTAAGAACTCTCCATGCCTCTATGTTACACTCTGCCTTGTAATCTCTAAATGTTACACAGAGAATAATTTTCATACTCTTCGTTTGAGGTAAGAGGTCACATCAATGTTAGAAGATGCAAACAGTATAAAAAAGTGAAATGATTCATGCCAAGTCAAATAAGAATCACTGATTTTGGAGTGATCTAAACCACTCTTTTACTATGATATTCCTCTTCCCTCAGTATAGAAAGATGGTTGGGTTTTAGAAGGAAATACATTTTGAGAGTAACCCATTGAAAAGTGTATCTTACTTATTTCTTTTATTGAAAGGCTGAGAAAAACTAAAGAAATGACTGAGATTGAGGTGTATGTTCTAAATTGGTCAGTGGAGGAGGTCTCAGTACTACTCTATGATGCTTAGATTTGAACAGAAGCAGAAGTGATACAAATGATTTTCCTATCAACTAGGCTGTGCCACACGGCAAAAGTGGGTAGGGCGCTGCTAAAGCATAATAAAAATTGGAGTTAAGCTACTAATCTATCTGAAGTTTGTTTCTAAAGTAATTATTTGCAGAATCAAAATACTTATAGAGGATGCTGAACTATACAAGCTATGTAAATGAAGTCATTAAAGAAAGTACACCCTTAGCCTAGACAGTTCAGTCCCATGATTATTCAGAAGATGAACAGAGACTTTGTTTTGATTCTTGTAGACCTCAATTTAAAAATCCTCCGAGAAGATAAAAAATGCCCCGGGTCACTGCATATTATCAAATGGTAAGTATTGAAATTTTGGAAAAGTTGAACATTATTTTTTACCATGGCTGAAATAACCCATAATATTTTTAGTTGGTAGACCATTTCCTTAAAATCATCTTTCTTTCCCTCTCTTTACAATTACTTAGTAATTTGCAATGATTATTTAATACTAAGGAAAGAAAATGGACTTGTATAGAGAGAAAGCTATGGATCAAAATTTGATTGATCAGTGTGTGCTCACCATTGTTCAGAATATTATGGGAGCCAAAAAGAAAATACAATGTGGTTGATTCCCTATTTCAAAATTGTTTGCGTATTATAAATTTCATTAACATATTAAAACATAGTAGGCATTTTAAAGAAACTATTAAACGAGAAAGTTGAAATAATTATCAATGTCATGTTCTTCAAAGAAAAACCGGTAATTGAATTATGTACTTGGAATTTTGTTTTTGGCTTTGTAACTGGTTCAAATTAATATTAGACATTTCTTTTTTGACAGGATCCAAGGTTGTTTTGATGCGCTGGAAAAGAAATATGTAAGAATGTTATAAAAAATGTATATCAGGATCAAAGACTCATCTCCTATTACTTAAAAAAAGTTTAGACTTTTATTTTGTTGTTGTATGTAACAGTGCTCCCAGTGCCTACATTCACATTCAGGATCTTGTTTCCTTTTATTTCATGTTATACAGTAATTTGATTTTTCGGTTGTCCATTGATGTCTCATTTGCATCAATTAGAAGCAAGCCGCTCCTTTTTTCTCTTTCACATGCTCTATCTTTTGACCCCAGAAATTCGTCTGAAGTTACTAGAAGAAAATCCACAGATGTGAATCAGGAATAGGGCTCTAGACCCCTGGTGGTGTAGGGATTATGAGTTGGACTGCTAACAGAAGGTCAACACTTCAAACTCACCAGCTGCTCCAAAGGAGAAAGATGCGGTTTTCTATTTCTGTAAAGACTCACAGCCTCAGAAGTCCATAGAGAACCTGTATAGGATAGGTCACTATGAGTTGGAGTCCGTGGATTAAAAACAATTTTTTTTGATTGTTTGAAGCTCTACTTGAAAAGATATACATATAAATGAAATTTCTGCCACTGGTCTTCCTAATCTCCCACGCCCCCTTTTTCCATCTGTGCCTTTTATTCGCTTGGTCCCAATTCCAAATATTATTTAAGAAATCATGAACGGAATAAGCCTTCTCTAGTACATTCATGCAATTATTTTTTTATTGAATAGTTATTACTTATGATTTACTCCAGACTGACTTGTGGGCTTGAGGGATACAAAGATAAAACACCCCAGAATCATGCACCCAAAGTGTTTATAGACCATAAGTTTATAGACCATAAGTTTATAGTGGGAGATAAGAGATATTTATAGCAGGGTTGAAGGTTAGCTGTTAAGACACTGCCTAGCTGTACCTATTATTAAAATATTGAAATATATGTGTACTCAAAAAATGGAAGCACAAACTCACTGCCATTGAGCCCATTCTGACTCCCAGAGATCCTGTAGGACAGGGATTCTGTCCCTGTGGATTCTGAGACTGTAACTCTTTACAGGAGTAGTAGATAATCACTCTTCTGAGACTTTAAGTGACCTTTCTTTTGCCATCCTGTCCCCCTAATCCCAGTGTGTCTTCTGGGGTCTGTCCAGACCTCACCACCATTCAGCAACTAAAGGATTAACACCTGCCTCAGATCTAGGTCAGCATCTTTTTGTTTGGTCAACCAGTACCTACACCACATTGAGCTGTTAAATACCCATGTTTTCATATCAATCAGTTTGATATTTTAATGTAAAAATTAAGAAAGATTTTGACTACCACCCCAATCAAACTTGTTAGAAAGTGGTGCATATGAAAGATGCTCACTTCATGCAATAGAAGGCATGAAAAGAAGGGGATCTACCCAATACCAAGGACCCTGGTGGCTTGGTGGTTACAGTGCTGGCTGCGAACTGAAAGGCAGCAGTTTACATCCACAAGCCGCTCTGAGGGAGGAAGAGACAGCTGTCCGTCTGGAGAGATCACATCTGTATGTAGTCCTATGAGCAGGAGCCAATTCGATGGCAGTGCGTTTGGACATCCCCAGTGGTAAGAGGCATGAAGGAAATCTTTGGGCAAAAGTGACCTGAGCTTTGAGGTTCCTTAGTATTTGGGCAGATTTCGAGGGGGAGAAGGTCACTCAGACCTATAGAACAATCCATCCAGGCAATTAGTATCACTTCCTGACTTTAGGGATAGGCAACATAGTGCGGAGTTTTGGAATCTGACCGTGAATTCTGGTTTGACATTTGATACCTGTGTGTGACTGAGCAAGTAACCTAACCTACTTCCTGGTACCTCAGTTTTTTAAATATATAAAATGGAAATAATACTAGTACTGAGCTCCAAGGGTTATTTGAAAGTTAAGTGAAGTTAAAAAAAAAAGTGGTGGTCTCAAACTGCAGTTTGCATCAGAATCAACAGGAAGATTTTACAACAGATTGCTTTACTACCCCAAAATTGCTGATACAGCAGATCTGGGATGGTACCTTACAGTTTGCATTTTAAATAATTTGTAGGTGATACTGATAAAGGAACCATATTTGGGAACCACTGGTCTAAAATATTTAGAACCATCAGTTTCTGGCACATAGTAAATGCTTGTAGTTCATTATTTCTTCAGATATTTAACCTGTGCCCCTGTGCCTAGGCACTAGATAAGACCGAAACAAGAGTAAGATGTTACTTCCTCTTCCTCTCAAGGAGGTCACATCCTAATAAAGGATCTCTTAAACAAATAGTACATGAGTTAACATAGATAGCAGTGTAATATACAGACTAGCTAGTTTGATGGATTTATTTTACTTAACGATCTTTATGACTAAATCAAATGAACTATTTTGGAGGGAACAAAACCTTAGATGGACATGTTAGACTTTAGTCTTGTGATTCTTCTCAGGGTGCTAGTAGGAAATGGTTGCGATTTTAAAAGTAATTTGAATAAGATCAACTTTGAATAGCTGTTGTCCTTAGGTGCCATCAAGTCAGTTCTGACTCACCGTGACTGTATGTGTAACAGAACTAAACACTGCCTGGTCCTGCACCATCCTCAGAACTGTGATTACGTTTGAACCCATTGTTGCAGCCACTGTGTCTCCTCATCCTCACTCTAAGGAGCACCCTGGCTATCCTTCCACAAAGACAGATTTATTCTCCTGGCAAACTAGTACTTTCAATATTCTTTGCCAGCACCATAATTAAAATAAATCAATTATTCTCTGGGCTTCTTCATTCATAATCCAGTTTTCACATACACGTAAGGCATACTTTTAGTTTTCAAAGTGACATTTTTGCTCTTTGACAAGCTAAAAAGATCCTTTTGCAGCTTATTAGCAACTTCAATAATTTTTTCATTTATCACTATGTTGCTTATTGGCCCAGTTGTGAGGACTTTTGATTTCATACATTGAGCTTTAATCCATACTTGGAAGGCTGTATTCTTTGGGTCTTCGTCAGTAAGTGCTTCCTTTCAGCAGGAAGGTTCTGTCAGTGACAAACTGCAAGTCGTTCCTGAGTCGTCCTCCAGCCCTGATGCTGAGGCCCTCACCTCAGACTGGGTGCTCAAGTCTGATGAAAGGACACACCTCTCCTGACTCTACGCCATCCAGTTTCCTCTTGGAAATGACTGCCTCTTGGTCTACGTACAGATTTATTCTGAAATTTCCATTCTTCACAATTCATCATTTTTTTTTTAAAATTCATCATTTTTTATAACCCACCAGTCAAATGTCTTTGCATAGTCAACAAAATACAAGTAAACATCTTCCAAGTTTTCTCTGCTTCCACCCAAAATCCACTCGATGCCAGCAGTGGTGTCCCTCACCCCACGACCTCTTCTGACTCCAGCTTGGCCTTCTGGTAGCTTTCTCTTGAGATACTGCTACGACTGGTTAAGCAGCATTTCACTTGCATGTAGTACTCATGATACTGCTTGAAAGTTTCCTTGTTCTGTTGGGTCACCTTTCTTTGGAATGGGCACACATACGGATTTCTACCAGCCAGTTGGTCAGGCAGGTGTTTCCCAATGTTCTGGGCGTAGACTAGTGAGTGCTTCCGGTGCTGTATCAGTTTGTTGAAACATTTCAGTTGGTATTCTGTCGGTTTCTGGGGCCTTATTTTTCACTAATTCCTTCAGTGAAAGGCATTCAACGCCTTAATTCTTCACTACCACCAGCTCTTGATCATATGCTACCTCCTGAAATGGTTGAGCATCCGCCGATTCTTTTTCTTTCAGTGACTGCATCATCTTTTTCTTTTTCTTTTTTTACTGCATCTTCTTTTGATGCTTCCTGCATCATTCAGAATTTTGTCCACAGAATCTGTCAATATTTCAATGTGATGCTTGCATTTTTTTCTTTTTTCTTTCAGCCTGAGAAGCTTCCCCAAAAGGGAAGTGTGTTCCTCCCTTTTGGTTTTCTAACTCTAGGGTTTTGCCCACGTCATGATTTTATCTTCTGGAGCCACCCATTGGAATTGTCGCTGCAGCTGTTTTCATTCTTCATTTCTCTCATTTACTGTACTCTAGGTTCAAGAGCAAGTTTCAGGCTCTCTAGCTTGAATATCTCGATAGAATGATGGGTGTTCTGTTGATGATTATTTCTGGCTGTGAAATTTTTGGTGATTCTGACATTCTTTTCTTTGTACTTTATAGTATTGCTTAGATTATTTCACATTAAGTAGGTGCACATATATTTTAGATAGTATTTTAAAAGGGACTGAATTACATGTAGCTTTCTCTTTTGTCTCTTCATTTCTATTCTTCATCCCTCAGCCTTCCAAATCACTGTCCATACTACATTCTTCCAAAAGAATAAGGCTGATCACGATACAATTTTGCCTAAATGTCTTCATTGGTTTTAAAATAAAGTCCCTCAACCCACACTCTTTAAGGAGTCCTGGTGGCAAAGTGGATGATGCATTGGGCTGCATCCCAAAGGATCCACAGTTTGAACCCACCCGTCTCCATGGCAGAAAGATGAGGCTCTCAGTTCCCACGAAGATTCACAACCTCAGAAACCCACAGGAGCAGTTATACTGTGAGTCAGAATTGATTCATTGGTAATGAATTTGTTTTTTTGTTTGACCCACTTTGTGTGAATCCAATTTATACTTCAGCTTAAATATCACTTTCCCAGCGAAGTCTTTCCTGACAACCTTTTCTTCCCCTCCCTCCTGGCCTAGACTGGACCTCTGTTGAAGGTTTTCATAACACCCTGTGCTGCTGCTTCAGAGCAGCTGACATGGTAATTGTAGAGCTGTTTTTTGTTGCTGTTTAATCTTGGTCTTTCTTACTAGTCTTTATGTGCTCTGAAATCAGAAGTTATGCCTGTTTCTGAGCGAATGAGTGAATTATTCATTTAATATAAGTAAAATGTAGAGTTCACAGTATACAGGCACACCAAAGCACAGTGTAATAAAGTAACTATTTTGATAAAGTGGATCACATGAAAAATTTTTTCTAGCGCATGTAAAAGTAATTTCTGTACTCTTGTGGCCTATAAGTGTGCGTCATGAAGTTTGAAATACTGTAAGAATTGCCAACATGTGAGCCAGAGATACAGAGTAAGCACATACTGTTGGAAAATGGTGTCAGTAGATTACAGGTAACGGGTTGCCAAAGCTTTCAGTTTATTAAAAACACTTTGTGCAGAGCACAGTAAAGTGAAATGCAATAGAACAAAGCCTGCCTATAGTTTTTTT